AAAAAAAGAGGGAAGCAAGATAACAGGGACATCATTCGGACATGGGGGGGGGGAATCACAGATCAGTATGGAATGCTTCAAAACGGAAGGGAACGGATGCTCTGAATAGAAGACCCTGAGGGAATCCCAAAAGGTGTTGCACCAGGTAAACCGAGGCAACTGGAGAGCATGCGAATTCTGGCTGATTGTGGATCTCGCTCTACCTGTCCTGATGTCGTGGTTGATCCCGTCCACCGCAATGATGGCATCGGCGATCCCTTCTTCTGTGTCTTTGTCTCGGACAACACCTTTGATGCCTCGGCGGGTCTATAAGAACAGGCCAGGTTAGTGAGTCCAATATGAAAAACAAACAAACAAACAAAACCACCTGGAAAATAGACATGCACTCGGGGAAATGAGAAGAGAGTGTCCCTAGGGAGGGAAAGCAGGAGAGGTGGGCATGAACTAATAGTTTGTTGGTTCCTGCCGGTTTGTCCGACAGCCGCACAGCTGGTGTGCGGTTGGGCGCCCCGCCCCCTCGAGTTAGACACTCAGAGAGAAGGGGATAGGAAATGGAAGTGAGAGAGTTAGGATACTGAATTGAGAGAGCTAAGATAGACATTGGAAAGTTGGTGTGTTTAAAATAGGAGAAAGAAGGAATAGAGAATAGATGGTTAAGGAATATTGTTAAAGCAACACCATGGTCCGGCATTCTGTCCCCTCCGGTGGGCACCCATTTAGAAACAGCACCTGGTGGTGGCGTGATAGGGAACTCAGAATGCTCCTCCAAGCAGGCACCCAACACAGGGGGCAGGGCACCAAACCACAGATTAGCAATGCAACCGTTGCACGAACTGCCAAACCGGTGATTCGGCCCCATCCCTGAGGGGGCAGGGCACCAAACCACAGATCAGCAATGCAACCGTTGCACGAACTGCCGAACCGGTGATTCGGCCCCATCCCTAAACAGCAATGGCACCGAGGGTCAGTTTGGAGCAAAGGGGGAGTCAACTCGTAGCATTTGGACGGCAGTCCCCACTAGGGGAAGGCCAAAACAACAACAACAACAACAAAACTGACTCTCCTGTTTCAGCATCAATGGGTGTTTCCCCCTATGGATATATAGGAACTAAAATATATGCATGTTCAATGTTTCCGTGCGTGTTGCATTCATCCATTCCCTACCCCATTCCTGTCTATATCACACAGGGCTGCTCCTCCTAATCATTCTCTGGTTTTCCCTCACCTATTCCATTTCCCTGATCTTTTCTAGACTACATTCCCCCCCCCCCCAGCCAGCCTCTCTCTTGGGGATTCTGGGTGCTGTGGTCTAGAAAAGATCAGGGAAATGGAATGGGCGAGGGAAAACCAGAGAATGATTAAGAGGAGGAGCCCTGTGATATAGATATATATACATTTATGGGATTTTTCTCTTAATATTTTTAATATCTTCAGACTGTGGATAAGTGAATCAGCGTATAACTGATCCCACAGATAAGGAGCTCCCGCTGTACCTATTTATATGTATTCTCAGGGTGTATTTGCCACAAGTGGCCACTTAGANGGGGGGGGGGGGTCAGAGACCATGCAATGCATAGCCTTTGATACGTCCCCATGTTTTTCATCATCCCTGGAGGAGGGGTTTGGGACTGACCCCTCACAGATCCCGTGGCCCTTCTGCAAAGCCAACACTTCCCAAAGGCCAAGAAAATCGACTTAAGTGTCCAGTTAAAAACACAAGGGCATCTTCACGCTTCTCGCCTACCTGCTCCATGTAGACCAGCAGCGATTCCTTGTTGTTCTCCCACTCTTGGGGCAGCTCTGACTCGTGCGGGAACTTGTCACAGGACAATTCGATGGTGATCTCAAAACAGTTTGTGTGCAAGTAGCTGAAGTCATTCATACCTGGGGAGGAGAGGGCGAGTCAAGACGGTAGGGAGCCCGTCAGTGGGGAAGGAGAGTTGGATTGGAACACAGACCCTTCTGGATGCAAGGGTGGAAGAATCCTCTTCCAGTTTAGTCAGCTGCCGAGTCTCAGAAGAAAGGTGGAACGGCAACGTCTGCAACCCAGTGCCCTCCAGATTGCTCCCATCCTCCCCTGCTTCCCTGGATGGGGGAATATGGGAGTTGTAGTGCAACACATCTGGAGGACAAGAGCCTGAGAACGGTTGGCCTAGTAAACAGACCCACATCTGGTTCAATTTCCTACTTAGCCCAGAGCCATTTAGGCTCTAAAATTTAGAGCCAAGCTTCCGTTCCCTCCACCACCGCCCAGACCTTTAGCTGAGTTTGCAGCTCATCTTTTATGCAGTTTTTAAAATGCTTCCTGATGATTCAGACAGGATTTGTGAAATGTTATTGTTTTATTACAGCTTACCCTTTTATTTCCCTTTTGCAAATGCAATGCAAACACACCAAGGAGTTGCTTCCCCCCACCCCCCCAGAACAGGAATCCTTCAGGCACTCAACTGGTTGTCTCTTCCTGCAGAACCTTGAATGAATTCAGAGCCCAGGGACAAACAAGGAGAACTATAGTTCTGTGGAAGCCGACAACGAGAAGCTAATCCATTCCAAGATTCCAGCATGGATGTAAAACACACAGATATGCAAAGCAGGCAGTGCAGTGTAACGGTTAGAACCTTGTACAGGGACTTAAGAGAAGTAAGTTCTAGCAAGTGAGGAAACACACCCATGGAGAAATCTGCATCAAGGTGTATCTACTCGCATTTTTGCATTTTGCATGCTTTCGAACTGCAAGGTTGGCAGGAGCTGGGACAAGCGACGGGGGCTCCCTCCGTCGCGTGGATTCGCTTTTACAATGTCTGGTCTTCTGACCTTGCAGCACAGAGGCTTCTGCGGTTTAACCCGCAGCGCCACCATGTTAATTAATGTTAAAGAACATTAAATAAAGTTCCTCTTGTGAACCCATTCAATTGGAATCAGGGAAAACAAACTGGAGAAATATACCAGCATCCAGCTGATCCTCAATAGTGCCTGGGAAAAGTCACTTTTTGGACAACAGCTCCCAGAACCCCCCTGCCATCACGGGGATTCTGGCGGCTGTAGTCCAAACAGGGATTCCCACCCACCCATGCCCCAGCTCAGATTCTATGGGAAGGCGAAGGGGTCTGGAGAGGAAAGGCCGGGCCTTCTTCCTTCACTCACTTCCGGGCACCGTGTGCCAGTTGGCCCCATTGATGATGTTCCCCTCCCGCATGAAGTCATCATAATGGCAGAGGCGCCGGTCATCGTCCACCATGGCCAGGTTGGAGGTGGCGTAGACGGTGGCCAGCCAGCGGAAGACGGGGTCGTCGGCCGTGGGCGTGAGCTCCTGGGCTTTCCAGTAGGTGCGGGTCATGTCGAACGGGTACGTGACCACCAGCTCCCCTCCGTGCAGGTTGGCGCTCAGCATGAACGGGTAGCGTTGCATCCAGCTGATCACCGCCCGGGTTTCGGGGGCCACCTGTTGCGCCAGGAGAGAAAAGGGAATCTCCTTCAGCTTCAGAACGGCTGCGAGGCAGGCTCCTTCTCCAAAAAACAAAACAGGATGCACGGTATTGCCATGGGAAGTCACCGGGGGGGGGGACGATGAGGCTGCTCCATTTTGTGATATCACCTTTGGTTTTGTGGGACTCAGGAGACTCTGGCAGGTGCCGCCGTGTTTGATTTCTTAGAAGCATTTATTCATTCCAGACACGTTTGCTGTTATTTCAGGGAACCCATAATCCCACTGACTTGCCCATGCATTTCTGGGCTCAATTCAAAGGGCTGGTTCTAACCTAGAAAGTCCTAAACGACTTGGGTTTGAGCTGCCTCAAGGATTGTACCTCCCTGGATGAACCTTCCCAGATGTTAAGATCATCAGGAGGAACCTTTCCCTCAACCTCGCTACATGTACAGTAGGGCCTTCTCTGTGGCTGCTCCTTTAGACTCTGGAACTACCTCCCCTTTGCTCTCCTTCTGCAACCAGACAAAGACCTTTCTCTTCAGGCAGGCTTTCTCTTAATGACTAGCTGCATGAACGTCATCATTTTAGATGGATTGCTCTGCACCGCTCCTTTAACTGTGTTTCAGCATGGCTCGTGTGTCCCATTTCTCAGAGGGGTATTTCTTTTTTTAAAAAAATTCTTCTATACTGAGTGTGTTTAGCTTTAAATATTGCCTTTTAAGGGTGCATGCCACCTTTGTATGCTCATTATTTTGTTCTTAAATATTGTCTTTCAGCATTGTAAGCTGCTTTGTGGCCTTTTCTAAGGAGAAAAGGTAAAAATATTTTAAATAAAAATAAATAATAAACCCCTGGCATGCGGGCATCTCCTTCCCCCAAAGGGTGATGCAGAAATTAATGTGCTCCTAAGACACAGAATATTTCTCCACTCCCCTGGTGGGGGATTCACACCGTCCCTGGCTGACCCCCAAGCTACAGCAGCCTCCATAAAGCCCAGGCAAACAGGGCAGGACTGTGATCTGAGGGGTGGGCTCCGGAGGGCCAGCAGTGGCATTCTGAACATGTAGAGATGCACTGTTCGAACAGCACACAACCTCTAAGGTTGCTTGAATAATTCTTGCACAAACTCTCCATAGAACTTGAGATTTCCTCCATGAGGACTTGAATCTTGCCAAAACCAATGCTGTGTACTATGGGACAGCATAAAGGTGGGATATGCCTGAAAACGGAGGCAGGATCTACCAATGCTAGACCCAGAGAAGGACTATGGAGAAGACAGAAGCAGCCACAGGCAGTGGGGTAATGGAGCCAGAGCTTTGCGGAACAAAACCCAGGGATGTTCTGAACGGGAGGGATTATGTCACCCCCCTCAGACTTCCCAGAGCTCAGCTGCATCCTCACAGTAGCTGCCGGAGGCAGAGATTTCCCAGAAAACAATATATTGTTGTAAACCATCCCTGTTGCAATGCAAAATATTCAAGAGTACTGTAGTTTGGTCCCAAATAAGACATTAAGAGCCATTAGCTTTACAAACAACCCACTCCTCATTTGTTGAGATAGACTTGGTACCATTGTCTGACTCTTTTTTTTTACTCTGCTTGTTGTATGGGCTGGTTTTTGGGGTCTGCTCTAACAGGCATCTGGACTTGCACCCCGTTGACGACCTCACCCTCAGCCAGAGCCCTCCGTCTGGCCGGCAACCACCCTTTTCCCAGCCACGTGGGGCATCCGAGGGGCCCAAGGATGGGGCTCACCGTGGCGTTGGGGAAAGTGTAGGGCTCCGGGATGGGGATATAATGATTGGGGAACTCGTGGGGCACCATCTCGTTGTCTTCTGCATCCCAGAGGGCGGTGTTGAGGTCGGCGAAATTGTGGTTGAGATCGATGCCTTCGTAGGTCCACCGGCCCATCGCCCAGCCGGACAATTCGGAGCCCTGCGTGGGGGATGAAGGAAACCGTGTGAGCCACTCAGGGACCGGGAGACCCTCCCAGCAAGCCATCAGCCTCGGTCTCCTCCCGACTGGCCTTCAGGGACCGAGGTCCTCCACTCAGATCTCCTCAAACTGGACTTTTAAGCTGCTTTCTTGATCACCGCCATCTAGAAGATCACATGGACAGCGAACATCAGCCAAGCAGGGCGGGAGACAACCAAAGAAAGCCAGATGTGCTTCCAACCACTAGGTAATATTATTGATTTGGACTCAGCAGATGGGTGGATTAAATTTTAATCCCTGTTCTCTGATGCAAGGTTGGCCACGCGGGTGTAACCTCCTTCCCCAGCCAAATAGGGAACGTGAGTTTCAAAACAAACAAAGCAGTGTGGTCCTTAACACAATGCAAAAGCAAGGGCCGGTGATATCTTTATTAGACCACTAAAAAATAATTTAAAAAAAGTGCAGCTTTCAACTCAGACTAATCTTCATCAGGCTGTGAGCCAATGTATTGTAGCTGGTGCAGGGGGAAAAGAAAACCCTTTGAAATTTACCCCTCTCCCCTTTTCATTCTATTCTTTTATATTGTGTAAGGGCCACAGGGTTTTTCCTTTTCCTTTTCTGGATTATGGAGGATATCTTGACTAGCTGCCCAGAAAGCCCATTCTAGAAGAAAACACGGACACTTGACCATCAGTCAAACAGGGCGGCCAACTGGCAAAAAAACAAAACAAAACAAAAACGTTTTGATCTTGGTAGATGACCCAATTGTATTCTTAGTTTTCTGGGGGTTTGCCACATTTTTGCATAACCTGTCTTGTTTCCTATTAAGGAACCTTAAGAAGGGATGGGGGGGGGACTGAATATCTGGCAGTCCTTTGTTTGAGAGCATAGGAAAGAAAATCCTATCCGGGGCCACTGGAGCAGAATTTGAACCCTACACTCTGGAAGCAAGGTGGCAGTGTGCATTTTTGGACCCATTCTTTAATTGCTTTGATTATTGTGATGGTAAGGGTTTTGCTGTCTGCCTGTGGACAATATTTTAATTGGTAGGCAAGCCTATTTTGGATTAGAGATGGGGATATTGGTATTCTAATGGTTGTTGTGGGTTTTTCAGGCTCTTTGGCCGTGTTCTGGAGGTTGTTCTTCCTAATGTTTCACCAGTCTCTGTGGCCATGGGCATCTTCAGAGGACAGCAACTCCCATGACTCTGGGAGTTGTACTTCAAAATCGCACCTTCCCAAGCTCCCCTAATGAATCCCCCCGCCTCTGTTCAACGTACCAGCTTGTAGGCTGTCTCGTAGCCATCTGGATTCATGGAGGGGAGCAGGTGGATCCGGGTCTCGGTCACCAGCCGCACGACGCGTGGGTTGCCCCGCCTGAACTCGTAGCAGAGGTATTCCATCAGGTTCAGCAGCAGCTCCCGCCCCAGCGCCTCGTTCCCGTGCATGCCAGCCACGTAGCGGAACTCGGGTTCCCCTGGAGTGGTTGGAGAGACAGAGACTGATTCGTGCTGCCCCCATCTTTCAAAAAGGTGTGGGGGGTCTAGTGTTCCACCCTTTCCCACACCTGTGGTGGGTCTCTGATGGTATTCAAGGACCCCAAAACTGCCTGAACAGACACGACTGTACTTTGGGCATCTCACGAGAAGACAGGACTCCCTGGACAAGACGGGCATGCTATGAAAAGGGGAAGGCAGTAGGAAATGAGGAAGGCTAGACGGGAGAGGGATGGAATCACGAAGGGAAGCCACAGGCTTGAGTTTGCAAGACCTGAGAAGAGTTGTTGTGGATAAGACATTTTAGAGTTGGCTGACTCATAGGGTCACAATTATTTCATGGCACAGAACGAGGGCGGCATGAAATCCCAGCTCACCTCCAGTCAAAGATTTTGAAGAAGTGCACCCTAAGGGAAAGTTAGGTTGGAGTTTTTTTTTTACACCGTTGCAGCCTGTAGATGTTATTGTTGGGAGGGATTTTTTCTGAGCTGGGGTGACCATCAATACATCTAGCACTAACCCATGGTTTCCTCCTGCTTCTGAATTCAAAGAAAGCTCTCTGTCTCTTTCCCTCTCTTTCCTCTGTTGAAGGCTGTTGACACAGGCAGTGGCATTTGTCAGTTTACTGTTGATTTGTTTTAAAAAATGATTTTTTTTAAAAAAATTCTCCTACTAATGTCTTAGAGTGAGTTCTTGAGACTGTAAGTGCCAGTTGATGAGAGAAAGGGATGGATAGCTCTGGGGAACTTGAAGCTATTTTGCCCTGTGAATCCCTGCCTTTCTGCTATGCAGCTGGAGGAATTTAACCAAATTTTTTAAAAAACTTTGCAACAAATTATTCTTCACAGGTTCAGAGATGCCCTGTTTATTATTACTACACAGATCCTACAGGGCAGGGTCTGGGCAGGTCTCATAGGGGCCACCGGCACTGCCAGCGCCATTCAGAGAACCAGGGTTAGACAGTGGTTAGAGCACCAGGATGGCTAGATCTCACTCAGCCACAAAAAAAGGACTGGTCCTCTTTTGGGAGAGTTACCCTCTCCGTCAATCTGCCCGGCCAGAGTTCTTGGGAAAGAGGAGAGCCCATAGCCACGGATTTTGCACTCACTAGAGACAGGGGGAATATAAATGCAAATAATTAAAACCAATCAATGAATCATTATAGTTACAGCTTATTTCTTTTTAAAATATGGGGCAAATGCAGGGAAGAACGAATAGTTAAATCCAGTTTTTTTTCCTTTCCTCCAATGTCATATGGCCACAACACACATTCCATTCAGGAAGGAAACAGCTGGACGTATCTGCCAAGTTCATTTTTCAACAAAAGTATTGCCTGTAATTAAGCCTCGGGAACAGCGATCTTTTCCAGGCTGAGTCAGCATCTCCTTCTCCGAGTTTTAACAGACAAGGCTGTGCCTTGTTAGCTCGGAAGCTATCCTGTGAACACCCCCCCCGCCCAAATCCTCCTCTTTGGGCCCATTTTGACATGGCGACGTTTTATTCCTACTCATTTATATCTGAACCTGCCTTTCTGCTTCCAAGGTGGGCAGCTTCCAGACCACACACTAAGCTCATTGGTAACAGAACTTGGAAACATTGCGTTTCATGATGGCTGGCTGTTGGATTCTGGGAACTGTAGTCCAAAAAAGTAACTTCCCCATGTTCTGGACTCTACTGCTATTTTTTAAAAGTGTTTTAAGTGTTTTGGGAGGGGTGGGATCTTTCTCTCTCTCTGTGTGTGTGCGGTTATGGACCTATCCGTCAGTAATGGTGTGGGATCAACTCCCTTCTGCCACAAAGCCCAGCAAAATCACAGTTAACGGTGAATCTGCGAATCGAACACAAAATGGCCTGATTTGTCCCCTCCCCAAACCCGAGAGGAGACAGAGGCATTGCCAACTTTTCCCAAATGCCTCAGGAGAATTAACTGAGTCCCCCCAACCCTACAATGAGAATTCAGCAGGAAGGACTGCAAGGAACACTTTCTGCCTTACGGTTGTCGACACAGGCCTCGGAAAGCAAGGGCAGAGGGAAAAAATGAGGCTTGTGTCCTTTTAGGCCATGCTGGTGAAGGGGCTCTCCAAAGATCCAGTCCGCACGGTGTGTGGCTTTCCCTTTGATGAATGCAGGGAGAAGACGGCGCAGCAGAATTCTCCTTCATGCAAAGGAACAAGCAAGAAAATATGCAAACCAACCAATTCTGTGGAACCGCAGAACTCTACGGCTGGAGGGGGTGTGAGTTTGAAGCATGAAATGCCCAGCGGAGGCATCCCCGGCAAGCGATTCCTAGAAGTGTGTGCTTCACTAATGGCGCGGTACAGAGATGAAACAAGTGAGCGAGCAAACAAACCAAGAGAAGCCAACTAGAATGCAGAACGTTGGAGATGCTTTTGGAAACTGGATGGGAGGGTTCGCTCAGTACCGGTTTTCTGAGCCCCGCCTGAGCTGGCCAACAAAACGGATCAAGACAGACGGAAGGCGGAGAGGGGTTTGCGCTGTGCAAACTTCTGCCCATATTTCCCGAAGCCACCTGCAAACCGGCCCTTAGCCTCACAGACGTGGCTTGAGCTGGCCCGCCTCGTATCGCTCACCTACTTCATGCTGTCCCGGGTTGTCCGAAATCTCCATGACGTACATTTTGAGGCCAAGGTAGCTCTTCCCGATGCTGTACACCCGGGTGATGTTGGGACAGGCCTCGTTCACCTCCTTCATCAGCTGCAAGGAGGCACATGTCACACATCAGTGTCTGCTTTTCGACCACACTCCTCCCGCCCGACCCCCTAGTAAGCTTGGTGGAACGTCACATGCTTTGGAAGCCTTTCTGCATCCGAAAAATGGGGCAGGAGAAGACCGACACGGAGGGCAGAAGGTTGGCGAGGATGCCTGACCAGGGAGATGACATGGCCTCCGTGGTGTGGTCTACCCTGTGCTCACAGGGGATCAAAGGTGGGAAACTGCATTCATCCCCCTCAGGCTTAGTTCCAATCCTCACAGTATTGGGACACACCTGGATCCTCTCCGGAGGATATTGTTTTAAGCTATCCCTGCTGTCACATAAAGTTTTTGAAGGCGATTTTGCTTATGGATGGGCCATTAGGAGCCTTTAAGTTTACAAAAGACCTGCTCTGGCTGCCTGTATCTTTGGATTGTCCTTGATGGGGGCCAGGGTAAGGGTGGAGGGCTGGTCAAGGCATCATTTAGGGTCATTTCCCAAGAGACCGGATGGAGGAAAGGGCAGGCGCCATCATGATGACTCCCTTGTCCTTCTCAAGCAGCAAAAGATACACACCTTCCTCATGTCCTTATAGTTGTGGTGCCTAAAATCCAGTTTGTCGTTGGTCACAGGTGCGTTGTTCCAAAAATAAATGTTGTTTGGATCTGGAAAGAAGGGAAGGAGAAGACAATTGAGGCAGGGTGTGTTGTTTTTCATGCGCCACCAACACTGTTTTGTTGATGTGGCCGAGATGGAAGGAACGGAAGGCCCTTCCCAGCCTCTCAGCCGACCCCTTTCGAAGCCACCCTCCACCACCCTGTTGTCTATCTTTGGTATTCCTGGCGCATGATGGATATCTATGAGCTTCTCTGGACCTCACAGAGAAGTGGAATAAGGGTAAATCCCCTGGGCAGAGCTGTTGGGGGGAGGATATGCTGCACATAGGGTTGGGCGCACGCTAAGACCTTGATTCACGCATGGGAGGGGGCATTGCCAACCCTGCTTTTTCTCTGCATCTAAACCCCTATTGATCTGCACCCCTATAAGGAGCAATCTGTGACAGAGCTAACCCAGGGATACACAACTTTATGTGGCCTGCAGCCAAGCCCTACCTGGGCTAGATCAGCCCTTCTTGATACATCTTTTAAATGTGTGTGTGTGTTTGTTTTGGGGTTTTTTTGGGGGGGGGTACAGAGCTAACCCAGGGATACACAACTTTACGTGGCCTGCAGCCAAGCTCTACATGGGCTAGATCAGCCCTTCTTGTGTGTGTGTGTGTGTGGGGGGGGGTTTGGGGTGTGTGTGCATTTGGGTCTTCTCTGGAAACACATCAGCCAGTATCCTGTCAGGCAGTTCTGTCTGGGCAATAAGCATGACTTCAGCAGTAGCAGCAAGTGGTTGCTGATTAAAGACTCCTGTTTTCAAATTTTGGGCAGGCATGACTTGCATGCAATGGGACAAAGTTGTGCACACCCCAAACTGAAAAAAAAGGAAGCATCTGAACACTTGCCGGTTTCTTCCTCATTTCTCTCATGCAGGCGGAGTTGTGTAACAGGAGGCTACCCCATCTTGTTTTAGGATTACACACACACACCCCAGCTGCTTCTGGAGGCGTGATTCTGGAGAAGGTAAGGCTTTGGAGTACAGAGCCGGAGGTGCACGTGGTCTGCAATCAGCACTCCAGTCTGTTGGCTGAGCACGTCAGCCCAAAAGAAGTGAAGATAAGGGAAGGGGCAGCCTCCAGAGCCATGAGAAGGAGGAACAGGATAAGGATGGGGCAGACCCATTTGAGAGGGGGGGTGTTTTGCTCTATGGTCCTCATCCCCAGCCTGGAGCCAGCCTCACCCTCCTGGCTCAAGTGCAGGGGGAGGGGGTCCCCCACCTGGCAGCACACAGCCCAGGACCTCCATCCGCAGGCAGATCGTCCCATTCTCGAACCAGCTTTGAGGATTGATGCGGAGGTAACGAGCCACGACTGGGACAGGCAGCACTCCGAGGACCGGTGTCTCCGGGTCCTTGTTTCCCTGGAATATCTAGAAGGAGGGGGAAAGAGAGAGAAATAAAGGGGGGGATCTCCGTGATGCAAACTGCTGAACGAAAAAGCAGTTTGATGCAGTGACTGCCTATGTCAGACCTGGGCAAAGTGCGGCCCAAAGGCCACATACGGCCCGCGAGCTGTTCCTGTCTGGCCCGCGGACAGTTTTGAACATCAAAACCATTTATAGCTTTTTGTCTAAAGTTGATCAGTTGCTTATCTTTAACATACCGCAAGAAAAACTCTTTAGTATTTGTGAAGATTAACAAGTTTTAAATAAAAACAATCAGAACATCACCGTTTCATTTTACAGTATTTTTAAGTTGGTTCGGCCCCCAAACACAGTTCAGATTTTTCATGTGCCCCCCTCCCATAGAAATTAATTGCCCACTCCTGGCCTATGTGGTGCTGTGGCTGGAGAGCTGGCCTGGGGACCTGGCAGATCCCAGGCTGGCTTTCTAAGTGTGGGTTCCCAAGCCAAACAGTTTCCTCCAGAGCTTCGAGCATCACTCTCGGTTCCTTGTTTCAGGCCACTAAAGCCTAGCAGGAAATCTCCCTCCTGTTCTGAGGCACCCTGACTAACCAGACACTCTCCAGCTAAAGCACCAGGATCTTAAACTCTTTCGTGCTAAACCAAGCCCTTACTTAACGGAGTCGGACAGAACTAGGGTAGAGCAACGGAAGCGTTGCTCCAGGGCACTGAAATTTTAAAGGGCGCCGAAATCTAGAGGCAAGGAGGGTTCACGAAATAAACACTCTATTATTGAGTGTTATAAAACAAGCCGTAACATTGCTCAGCCTTCTTGATAAAGAAAGCTGGTGGAGCCAAATGATGGAGCAGGATCGGTTTTGCTGGATTGATGCCTGGGCGCTGGCAGCATAAACCCCCGCCCCCATGTATTGAAACCCCACCTCTAAAAGCCTAAATAATCTAAAGGTCCAAACAGCTGGCCAGTCCCACCTGTTTGCAAAATCCCCCCATCACTGGGTCCAAAGACAACAAGCAGAGCACGTGGACCCCAGCCGGTTCCCCGTTCCCGGTTTGCCCATCCGCCCACGTCCTCCTAACATCGCACCCCATCTGTCCCCAGCAATTTGGGTGCTTGGAACTTCAGTTAGGCTTGGTTTATGTGAGCCGTGGGGAGAGGACGGAGACATGGAGAAGAAGAACAAAGTTTGAGCCTGGGAAGATGGCCGGGTTGGTTCCTGGCTGAGCCCTCCAGCTGTGCGTTTTGTGTTTCCTTCTCTCTCACGAGACGTGGCTGCAACCGGTCAGCACAAGCCCCCTTCTACCAGCAGATACCAACGGGTAGATGGGCAACCTCCCAGTGGCGCATTTTTGCACCCTCTCTGTTTAAGTACTTTGGATCAGTGCCCCAGTATCCTTGCCCTCTATAGAGCTCTGCATCTTGTCTGATAAATAAACCGGGTTCTCCAAACCTTGTGCCTTTTTTTCTGGGCCTCTGCACCCTTGCGAGTACCTTCTCGGTTGGCCAAGGAAGGCATGATGACCTCTGTGCCAAAGGCTTTCTGCCCATCAGCTGTGAAGGCTGCGAGATTCTAAGAGTTCAAACAAGTAACTTTTCTAAACTCTGGAACACGAAAGCTCTGGTGCTGTAAGCCTCTGCAGGAATCAAGGGACTCTTACGTATAAGAACATTTGCTTCCCAAATTCTGCCTTGGCTTTTAAAGATGTCCTTGTTCACGCTCGGCCGCTGATTCAGGAGGAAAAAGAGAGAGAGAGAGCGCAGAACCTAAGAGGCGGTGGGGCACCTCGTTTCTCTTGGCAGGCGGGCAGAGAAGCCATTGATTTCCTTTTGCTTGGCTTGGCACCGCCGGATGGCTCTAAATCTCCTGCCCCGCTGGTACCAAAGGTCCAGCTCCGTTTGACCGCGCTTCATTTCTCGAATGAAGGGAGGAACAACCTCCAGGGATGGGGTATTAAAAGGGCACCAAAAGAAGGCAGGTAACTCTTCAGGATGCCAACCACAGGGCACTTTTTGGACTATGGAAAGGCGCCAGCCTCAGGGTGTCTACTGGAAGGTGGACAGAGGGGAGGATTGTAAGCCTTTCAACCTCCATCGCAACGGAATTGTTTTAAAAGTTTCTGCCCCTTACAATTGCCAAAGAAATGTCTGAGCAGCTTCCAAGGATACTGTAATTAAGGGGAAAGAGTCTACTTTCATATAAATATTTTTCAATGCGGATATTACCCAACAGGCAAGAAACTGAATATATATTTTAAAACGAACAAACAAAATCACATCCTTAGCCAGTTCGTCCACGAAGCAGCCTTGGCTCCCCCAGATGTTCTTGGGCTACCACTCCTCAAAATCCTGGCCAGCACAGCTGGTGGGGAAGGGTTCTGGGAGTTTTAGTCCAGGAACATCTGGGTTACCCAAGCTTAGGAACTCCGGCACTGAGGGTTTAGATGATTGCTCCACGGTCTCCATGAATTAAAGCTTGCATCTCTTCTGGCCTGGAATCAACTCTTGTATGTTCCAGATAAATGTACCATATTTTTCCATGTATAAGATGCCCCCATGTAGTATAAGACGCCCCCATTTTTCTAATCCAAAATTAAGAAGTCTAAGTGGGGCTTAGCAAGTGCAGGGGGAAAGGGATCAAAGCACTGCAGGATCGCTTTGATCCCTGCTTTCCCCTCCACTTGTTTTTGTACTCTCCTCAGCTTACTTCCGGGTATAAGACGACTCTCAATTTTTAGTCTAAAGATTTCAGACAAAAGTATAATCTTATACATGGAAAAATACAGTAGTTAGAAGAGGGTGCAGGATTTCGGAGCTGTCTCACCCCAGCTCTGGAATTATCCTCCCCAGTGTATGTAGCCTTTGGTCTCCTTTCCTGAGTGTTAGGCACCCTATCCGTCTTGTCATGTATTTGCTCAGGCTTTACTAATAACAGAACATCATCATTGTTGTTGTCATCACCATAATCGGATTGTTTTATCTGCCCCTTATTGTGGATTCTGTTCTTTTAAAACATCTGGATAGTTCTGCCATCTTATAGGTTAATGAAAAGATGGCCACCTTGTGCTTCTTTCATAAAATACAACACACAAATAAAAACAAACCAAATGAAATGTACATATACATTTAGCTTTGGCTTATACCTTTCTGTTATAAATCAATTGTCTATAAACTTTTAGTATTTGGATGCCAATTAAAAATATTTCTCTTGGCACAAACCTTTGTGTGTGTGTGTCGGGGGCGGGGGAGGGATTCCCCCCTCACCAGCTATTTGGTCAGGTTATATTTTAGCAGACATCTGAAGTGTACAAGATTCGGTACCTATTCCCTAACCATTTGTCCTAAGGGCAGGAAACAGTTGCATCTAGAACTGACCTGCTGACTCAATGGGACTTCCCATCAAACACTTAAAATTACGTCCCATGGATTTAAAAGATCTGCTCTAGCTGGGAATAACTATGGGCTTCATCCTTGTAGAGGCTGCATCACGGACAGTGAGCTACCCTGAATGAATGAATAATAGGTATTGGATAGCTCAGTGGTTTAAGTTTCCAAAGATCCCAAAATGTGGGTTGCTTGAGGCCGCTGGTCGGCTTCATTTCTTGTGAAGGCTTGGCCCGGATGGTATCCAAAGTTAATGAAATTCTTTTGATAAACAAGGGAGAAAAATCACACCAATGCCTCTCCCCATCCAAAAAGTCCTAAATTGCAGAGCTGATAATTTTCGGTTCTTTCATGACCTCACTGTGTCGTACCTATTACATGTGGCCTTCCCAGGCAGCTTTCCTGGCACTGCCCTCTTCCCCAGCTCACTATGCCAGCTCACACATGCTTGTCTGTCCCATCAGGGCTGGCCCAGGATGCCACACAAGACACACACACACGCACACGCTTGCCCACCCCTGACTCACCGCCTCCTGGCTCCCATTCATGCAAGGCTGCCATTGGTGGGTGTCGTTGCTGAACTGGATTTTATACGAGGTCACCCAGTCGTACCTGATGGAAGAAAAGAAGCGCGAAACGTGGGGAAAAAGCACAGAAGCAAGGGAATCATGTCTGCGCCAAAGGTGACGTGAATCGGACCAGGGGAAAGGAATACAGTGCATGAGAGAGAAATGGTGTCAAGGGGTGTTTCTTAATGACTTCGCTTCATCCAGCACAGAAACAACCCAGAGAACAGAACTAAAAACCAGAAGATTTTTTTCCCAGATAAGATTTTTGTCCTTGTAGCTGCGAAAATCAGCGAGCGAGCAACATCTGGGGACATTTCGCAAGCCAGGAGATGGGTGGGAAACTGAATGCAAGAATCTGGGATAAGAGAACACTTCTTGTACTCACTGTACTGAGGCTAAACCAGGACATTTAGTGGCCCTGGGGACAAAGAATGATAGAACCCCCGACCATCCTGTATGGAAACCTGGAAAATATCTCGCATACCATCTTAGGGGTGCAGGATGAGCCGCTTTGTACACAATTCTCTCATATCTGGAGCCGTCGTTCCCAACCTTGGCTCCCCCAGATGTTCTTGACTACAACTCCTGGGAAATTCTGGCCAGCACAGCTGGTGGAGAACGCTTCTGGGAGTTGTAGTCCAAGAACATCTGGGGAGCCCAGGTCGGGAACTGCTGTTCTAGAGGCTGCCACTCAGCACCGGCCGCCTGAAGCTACCAGGTCACCTTGCCTAACAGTACGGACCTCTGTGTTACACAGAGAGGACAAAACAGGAGAAGTGACACAGAATAAGCAAAATGTATGCAGATTTAAACAAGAATCAGACTATGGGGAGGAAACCCCTCGAAGCAGAACTGTCCTGCTTGGGTAGCTTCAGGACCTCATGAGACAAGATGCTGATTCTGTATCTAGAAGAAAAGGTTGGGCTCCTTCCAATACTGGGCTTGTCTTACTAGTTTGTAAATTCACTAGCTTTTGTTTCTTTGCAAGACGAATATTTCAGGCATGCAGCGCTGAAAGGTTTGCTTGCCTAAAGGGACAACATTTTTAAGGGACATGAAATACATTATGCAGCCTTACTGTCTTTTTCCCAGCGTTTCTCTGGCACTTACGTCCAGATGGAGTTCAAGCCCTGGGTGATGACCCCGGTGAACCGTGTCAGCTGCTTGGCATCGAACTCTAGCCACTGGTTTTTGTCTTCGTGCCCGGCGCACCAGCCACCGTCGTAGAAATCCCCGTCGTGGATGCCGGACTGGAGAAGAAGGGAGCAAGTTAGTGGAAGGCACAAGGACACGAGGGTCAATGCTTTGAGTGAAAGGAGGAGGATTTTGACATCAGGAGAGTTGTCGGGACCAGCCTGACAGCGGCTTGATTTGGGGAGCTGTCATTCGAGAACTATCAATTTCCAAGCTCCGATTGAATCCTTTAACCTTGGGCTGAAATCCTGTTGCTTAGTGCAGTGAATTGCAATGAAGAGCAGGCCCTTTGAATCAGTGGGACTTAACCAAAGATTTGCTGAAAATCTCCCTCCGCAGGCAAGACCGTTTGGGTCAGTATTTGGTGTTTATTCTGGAAGAGTGCGGCAGGCGAATGCGGCATTTTTTTGCTAGTGAGCAAGGGCGTGTCCCCCGGAGCAGGCCCTTTGAATCAGTGGGACTTAACCAAAGATTTGCTGAAAATCTCCCTCCGCAGGCAAGACCGTTTGGGTCAGTATTTGGTGTTTATTCTGGAAGAGTGCAGCAGGCGAATGCGGCATTTATTATTATTTTGCTAGTGAGCAAGGGCATGTCCCCCCGGCCTTCGTGATCAAGTAAGAGCAGAAGATGCCCTTGTTTCAGGACGGCCCTTCAGCAATAGAGCAGGAGGAAGAACCATAAACATGGTTACAGAAGCCCCCAAGGCTGGCTTCTCTGTGCGCCGCGGTGGGTCTTGGCGAAAGAGGAATTCGCCCTGAAGCCCACTGCTTGCCACCATCAGAGGTGTCTCCCCCCCCTCCCAGGTTGACTCCCTCGGCCGGCCAACGAGCATCCGGCAAGGTGGGCTTCACCTGTATGTTGAGGCGTCCACGGTGGGGCCCGAGGCCGTAGCGCTTCATGCTGGACGCTCGAAGCTGAGAGTCCCGGACCCGCAAGGATTCCAGTCCCAGTGGGGGGCATTCTGGGTTGGAAGGAGGAAGGCAGAGGGTGAGAAGGGGGGGGACCCAGATGCAGCCTCCACACATACAACACTTCCCGCCTTTCCCCCTCGGATGATCCTGCTTCGTTTAAAAAGGAGCACGTGTGGGTTTGGTGTTGTTGCCCTCCCCCCCGAGTTCTGTCTTTTTACAGAGGGCCAGGAAGAGGGATGGTGACCCTCCAGATGTTGCTGGATCACCGTTCCCATTATTCCTTATGCTGGCTGGGGCTTATGGGAGTTGTAGTCCAGCAACATCTAGAGGGCCCCATTTGTTCCCAAGCTTGGATACCCCCTTGAGTTCTTATACCCTTCCTGCCTACACGGTGAAGTGAACATCTGCCTATATTTACGGTCTGTCCTCAAATCTTTAGTCGTCAAAAAAAAACACCTTTTTGTGCATTTGTTTGTCCCAACAAATTTGCAAAGCAGGCCACCGCTAGCTCAGCTTTCGTAAACATCATGACACATTCTTTTGGTTTCAGCTGGGCTGCGAGGAATCTTTGCTGGCTCAGATCCCGGTGGTCACAAGATTGAATGGTTCTGGTGGTCTTGTGATTCCATCTGGCAAAGTCGCCTCCTGGCAGGGCTTGGAAGCTTGCCAAAGTCCGAGGAGGAGCTGGAACATTGCTTACAACAAAGCTTTCTGCCTCAGTTCCCCTTTTGTGCCAGGAAAGCCTCTGGGTGTCCCACTGCATTGCAAGGCACAAGCACCTTTGTGCATGAAAAAGTTGGCAACCTTGAAGCTTTAAACCGAAGCGGCAAAATAACAATTCAGAAGACCCTCCATTTATTTTTAGGGATAGAACTAAAGAGGAAGCAGCCGACGGCAAAATTTCCTTTCCTATCCCCTTTTAAAGAATGCTACCAAGGGGGCAGGGAGTAGATCTGAATTTGGAAGACTGCACATGCTCTGTGCATGCTGCTAGTCCTCAGTGTTGTGAAGTCTGCGCCAACCCATTTCCAATAAATGTGCCATTATCCATGGACCAAGGTCTAGTTAATTTAGATGAAGACAAATTGATTAAATTCTTAAAAATGCATGTGTGGCCTGCAACAAAGTGTTGTAGTGCAGGGCAGTGTATCATTTTGCTTTGGATGTAGAGAGCCACATTTCCTTGGAAGTAATCTGTCAGGGTAATGTTAGCCCAGGTGGAAAAAAGCCAGCTGGGGTGGAAGCCATGTCCCAAGGTAAGCAGGTAAACCCCTTCTCCTCCCCCCTCCTCTCTCTGTGTGCCACCCCCTTGTCCTCTTCTCTTTCGCTCTTTCTTTTCCGCCACCCCTTTCGTCTCCCTGTTCCTCTTCACCTAAGCAGGCTGCCTAGGAAAGGCATGGAAAGCTGTCTTGCATAAACCAGAACCAAGCCCTTGCCGGAAATTCCGGAATCCGTCTGAGGTCCAGGGGAGATCAGCCTGTGATGTGGCGATGGGGCCTCCGTGTTTCCCACCCATGGAGGATAGCATGTCTCAACAGGCGGAGGAAGAGAAAGTCAAGTGCCTAGCCCACGTGAAGGAGATCCACTGGAGAGAAGGAGCCCCCTCTCCCCGGCTACCTGTTCATTCAGTTGTATGGTATCAGGAAATGAAAAGTGCTAGAGTTTTTACAATCTTGCAGGCTGCCTGGAGTTTGTCTGGCTGGGAGGGTCCCTTTCCGGGCTGGGCTGACTGTCAATCTGTTCTGCACTAACCAATCGTCCCTTGCTGATTTTGAATTCAAAGACAGCCCCGCCTCTCTGCCGAGTGCTTCTTTCCCCTCTCTCTAGTCTGTTGGAAGCAGAGTCCGTTTGTTGCTTAGTTTGCTGTGGTCCTCGCCACAACTGTAATGGAACGTTATCTTCGTTCTCCTGCCAATGTCTCAGAGTGAGTTACTGAGACTGTAAAGTGCCAGGAAATGAGAAAGGGGTGGACTCTCTGGGGAACTCGAAGTTACTCTCCTCTGTGAGTCTCTGTCCTTCTCTAATATGCAGCAAAAAGACTCTGAACCAGAAATTCAAAACTACAACGAAAACCACACAACGGTTTCTCACATGGCTCTAGGATGAGTCAGTGGATCGGAAGGAGAGAATCCCAGGGAGCGAAGGAAGAAGAAATGTGACCGCATTGTTTGGGAGGAACCTGGCAGGAGATGTCCCTTGTTGGGCCCCTAACCCTCTCCCAACAGGCACTAGAGGAATTATGCTGAATAAGCAGTTTTAGGGGATTCAAACAGCCAGCTTCGTGCATGCCTGTCTGTCCAGGCTCCTGCGCCTTTAAAAGCTGTGAGATCTATAGTGCCAAGCTTTGCCTGGCTCGGCGATCCGGTTCCAGGAAAAAAATTCACTGTAAAGCTTGAACGTGCCACTTAGAAAGGCAGAGGACCCGTTTAAAAGGTCAGCCGTCCTTATTTTGCACAGATGGTTCCTAACACGGACTGGAAAGGGAAACCGAGGATCGGCAACAGCGCCAGAGCCTGGATCTGGAAATCCAAGGAAAATAGGAGGGAGGGAGCCGGACCGAGCCATTTGTACAGACTGAGTCGTTGTGAAATGGAGATACGCGCTTGCGGTTATATGGGATGTCTGCTCTTTGGTGCAAACGTGGCAGACAGGCAGCGTCGTTTCACCTCCTGAAGTGGTGGCTCCCAAACCGTGGGTCGGGGAGCCGGACCGAGCCATTTGTACAGACTTAGTCGTTGTGAAATGGAGATATGTGCTTGCGGTTATATGGGATGTTTGCTCTTTGGTGCAAACGTGGCAGACGGGCAGCGGTGGCTCCCAAACCATGGGTCGCCCAGATGTTCTTGGACATCAACTCCCAGAAATTCTGGCCGGCGCAGCTCGTGGTGAAGGCTCCTGGGAGTTGCAGTGCCAACAGGTGGAGAACCACTGTCCTCAATGGTCCCCGGCCTCATTCACAAATGGATAAACCTCTATGCATGCTCTGTGCATGCTGCTAGTCCTCAGTGCTGTGACGTTTGCTCTCTGCACCAACCCACTTCCCATAAATGCGCCATTATCAGTGGGCCAGTTAAATGGACCACCTTCAAACTATTTTTTTTTAAATCCAGGGGCACTATTTCACAATGTAAAGGTGCTGAGAATTCCCACCCCACCTCCTGCTTTACATGGCAGGATTGCGTTCATGCGAACGGTTCCTTTCTCTCTGCTTCTTGCTCAGGAGGAACAGTTCCCCCTTTCCCGCTTGCAAGCTTGATCGGTGCCCCTTTTTCGCCCGCCTGTGCCAAGGAGCTGGAAGGGGCCGTCCTCCCACATTTCATTTGGCAACAGCCAAACACAAAACTCTCCATGCCCCATTAAGCCTCAAAAGCCCAGGGAAAAACAACAGATCTGGCTTTCCAAGAATAACCCAAATGAAGCCCAAACTGCCTTCTGGAGGTTTGGAAGGCCAAAGGCTTCCCTTTATGTAAAAAGCTAAAAATTAGGGCCAAAATATCGACCCACCCGTTTTTCATTTGATTCTCTGTTTATTTATTTCTGAATATTATAACAATTTAATTCTCCCCAGTTTTTTTTTCATATTTTGATTTTAATACTGTAAGCCACTTTGGGGCCTCTTGAGGAGAAAGATGGGGCTCTAAATATTTTAAATAAATAAACATGTCAAGTTAGATGGCGGAAGAGGGTTGTTTTGCCTCCTGGAAGTGGAAGATGTGAGCCACTGGGCTCAGTGTCATAATAATAATGGGAACAACAACACCGACAGTACAGGAGACCCCTGTATCCATGAGGGATCGGTTCCAAGCCCCTTCCCCTACAGATGCTGAAAAATGCAGATGATGACAAAAAGCTATTGTAATAGTCAACACTATCCCTGTGGCTCCCTCTAGTGGCCACTTTGGGTAACTTCATGGTTGGAAATACTGTACCTATTTTGGGGTTTTTTATTTTAATGTTTTCACAAGGAGGGTAAGTGAATCAGCAGATACTGAGCCCGTGACTAAGGGGGCCCTACTAGAATTGTTATGAGGGTCAACATGGCCTACTGGCTAGAGAACTTGCTGGCTGATGTTTGCCAGCTCCAGCCAGCCAGCTGAATTTTGGATACAAAAGTGCAATACTGGTGATGCTGAATTGCCTGCCTGTTCATTTTGGTGGGAATGAGCTGCCGTTTTGCACCCTTGAAATGGGCCATGGAAGATCCCATGAGCACTGATGAACCAGAGGGACAGGGTGGCACAGTGGTTCGGGTGTCGGACTGAGAAGCGTTGAGTTTTGGGTTCAGGTCTCCCCTCATCCTAGGTTGAAGTCCCTGAACGAGCCTGGGACAGTCCGTCATTCCCAAACTGGCTTACCTATTGTGGTGGCAATGTACCAAAGGTAGAAGACGTGGACATATTCTTGAACTCATTGGAGGAAATGTGGGATTATGTTTACAATAATGTCACTGTCAGTATTACACACGGCAGAGTTCAGCCGTAACCTCATGAATGCAAACACTCCTCCCAGCTCTCTCTCCTCTGTGTTCACGGTCTCCCTTGACACTCACACAAAGACCTCCAAGGACGCTGCTGCACTTAGTGTACTGTAGTTACACAGGAGCCTTTCAGGGTCAAAGTATTTGATGCATGTTTTCTGACCTTGACAACCGAAAGCCAAGTCATTCTTTCTCCCTTGTTCCAGAGCTCAGGGCTCTGCAGGGGTCTTAACACTCCTGCCACCGGCCCGGCTGCCTTCTTCTCCCCCTTGTGGCCCTCTAGAGATGTTGTCTGGGGACGATGGGAGGTGTATTCCCAAACATTGCGAGGGCCCCTTAGGGAAAGCGGCAAGGAGACACAGCTCAGCAAGAGGAAGCTCCCCCATTCTTGGGATCACCAACTCTGCACCCAAAGATCCTGGAAGGGAGGGGCAGGGGGGGGACCGAGGGCAAGGAGTCCCAGACCTTACCTGAGGCTTGTTTGGCTGCCTTTTCCTGGGTGGAAAGCTTGGCCGTCTTCTTCTTCTTCTTCTTTAGTACTTTTTTCTTGACAATTTTGACCCGGTCAGGTTTTTTCAGAGCTGGAAGAAAGGGGGGAAAACCACATGCGCACGGGGGTCATCATCCCTATTCTTTCTCTGGGTTGGGGCCAGAGGCCTGTGCTCGGCAGGATTTGCACAAAGGGACCAGCAGGATCAGAACCATGGGGAAAGTTACTTTTTTCTTTTTTGCACGTTGGCTCCCCGGCGCCCCTCGAGATTTGTGCCGAAGGTGGCAGAGGCGCAGCTTCTGGAAGGCATCAATCCCTGGGGGTTCCTGCCAAGACCCCCCCCCTCCGTGTCATTTGGGCTGGAGATGGTCACAGGACCGACTGCAGAACAGATGTTTTGCAGATGTTTCTTTTTTTAAAAAAGCTCATGGGATCTGCTGGGAAGGTTTATTTTGCTTTTCTACCTTTTTTCCCCCTTTGCCTCTCCTCGCCTGGAACAGCTGGCCTGGCGAAGAGCTTTGGTGAATCTCTGAAGCTGGCGCAGTTTTGTGCTTTGTGGGGAAGATGTTTGGCTTAAGAAGTGTCCTCGGGTCCTTTTGGGGAGAAAGGCGGGAGGGAAATATTTTAAGAAAATAACTAAACGGTCTTTTTATGGCCAGGAGATTTTATGGTCTTTTTGTAACCTCGGGTCCTTTTGGGGAGAAAGGCGGGAGGGAAATATTTTAAGAAAATAACTAAACGGTCTTTTTATGGTCAGGAGCTTTTATGGTCTTTTTGTAAACCACGTTGTTGTCTTTTGCCATGAAATCTATTCTATACACTATTTCAACAAATGCCATCCATAATAATATTCTAACTGGCAACAAAAGGCTCTCCCTTTGCCTGCCGTCTGCATTTTCTCGTCCCAGATTCTGCGCACTGAACTTGGGACCTTCTGGATCCAGAGCATTGCTCTCTTGCAGAGCGATGGCCTCTCCCTATAACCTTAAGCTTAGAAGCTGCTTGGCTGAAGAGTGGCCGAGTCCTGCGGCTGCTTAAACAGATGAATTCAGATTTGTCATTTTTTTGAACTGCAAGTCTCAGAATTCCCTGGGCCGCTAGGGTTCAGATTTGGGTTCCCAGATGCCCACTTCCCCATGCTCCGTAGACAATGCTCCTTCTCGGGGAATTCTGGACATCGTAGTCCAAAAACGCAAGCCTTCACATCTCTAATTTAAATCACTCCAGGTGGATTGAGGAACTGGGAAGCATCACCTAATGGGCAGGTCATACGAGGGCCCCCAGACTGGCCCCCCAAAACACCGGAATTCTGACGTCCATCCCTGATGGTTGATGGAGGAAGCCCTTCAGTGTGGCCAGATCCAGCGGCCTTCGGGAACCCAGCACCTTAGAGAAAGGAGCCTGTCTTAAGTGAATGTGTGACTTTCGTAAGTCTTATAACAGGTGGTGAGGTGTGCATGGATGTCTCCTGATTGGTGTGCAACAAAACTACAAAACCACGCATAAAGACACAAAGCCCCCTACCCCCAACCCAGGGGTTCTGTGCTAAGGTTTGTGCTGAAATGTCTTGCAGGACAAGCCGTATTGGAGCAAGCCCTTCTGTACTGACTCAGCTGGTTGGGGGATTCTGGGTCTTGTAGTCCAACAAAATAAACTTTTCCAGTTTTTGCCTTGCCGTGCTCACAAACAGAGTCTGCTTTCTTCCCCTCCCTTAAAATGGACTCCCAGCCCAAGAACATAATGCAGGAAGAGGATGCACATGTGCACAACCTCACAGGGCTCGCTTGGTGCCAGCTCGGTCTGGCATGACGCCATCCACCCGGGTGGCTTTCCTTCAACCCTGCTGGCCAGAACAGGGAGATGAAGCGCTCAGCAAAGTGGTTTGAATCGGGAGACACCGGGGGCAGCCTGGGAGCCGGAAAGAGTGGGCCACAGGTTTTTCGTGACGGTGAATCCCTCTTCAGCAGGCAGAGCGAAAGCAAGCCGTAAAATGTAGGGGGGAGAAGACTTAGACGGACACCTGGAGGGGGAAACACATTCCCCTGCACTTCTCAAGCCCTGTACGATCCGAGTGCATGGTACCCAAAAGGGGACATAGGAGGAAACAGCTGGAACTGGATGAGAAGGCCAGGGAAGAAGGGAGGAGCAGGACTACGTGCATGCAAAGGGTGCAAAACCAGCAGGATGATTGGCATCGTTTGCATACAATAAAAGTTGCAGCATTCTGCCACCGAGGAAAAGAATGCCTCCTGCCCAAATGGGCCACAGCATGGCTCCTATACAATGGGACCACTCCATCTGCGAGGTCGGTATCCACGGATTTACTTATCTGCTGCCTGAAAATAATAAATAAAGCCTCCCAGAAATATGTATTTACAGGTATAGGTATTTCTAGAGTATGTTTACAAGAACTGGCCACTAGAGGGAGGGAGAGACCATGCAATGCATAACGTTTGATTGAACTGAACTCCCGGTGTGGTCCTCGTATAGCAGTGATCCCCAAAATTGGGCCTCCAGATGTTCTTGGACTTCAACTCCCAGAAATCCTGGCCAGCAGAGGTGGTGGCAAAGGCTTCTGGGAGTTGTAGTTCAATAACATCTGGAGGCCCAACGTTGAGGACCACTGTAATAGGACAAAAAAGTAAAAAGGTGCAGGCAGAACTGTTAATCAGCCTCACACACGACCAACAGCCTGCTGCTGAGGACCACAACATGCTTGCAGGGCTTAGTGTGATGACATGGATAACATTGTTAAGGAGCACAGAGTGCAAAGCGTCTGTGGAAGAGCTTGGGCGCAGGTGCCAAGCGCACGGTGAGCAAACGGCCAAGCGCAGGGGCACAATCTAAGTTTCTTGCCTGACAAGGCACCATGCGCTAAATGTGCCAGAGAAGCCCAAGGTGGAAACGAGAATGTGCAAGGTGTTCTCACGCCGAGCAGCCCGCTCCCCTGAGCAATCAGCCCGCAGAGCCTTCGGCAACACTCAAGCGACACTCAGAGGGCGCAACTCCCTGTGATGCACTGCGCATCACCAAGCAGGACCCCTGAAGCATCGGGTGGCATAGTACGTACGGCCCTGTGGAATTCACAACATGCAAGGTGGCAAGAACCAGAAATGTTATTGGAAGGAAGGAAGGAAGGAAGGAAGGAAGGAAGGA